GTTTGTGTTTTTGTTAAAACACGCTTTTGAAAATGACATGAAATTCGATAGTGATGCTCATTCTGTAGGTTCTAATGCACGCTGAAATCGAATGGCATTGACCATTGCCCGCTCTCCACCGCTCACTCAGACTCCAATCTTCAGGCATGTCGATAGTTTTGCAACGGAGTGTATCATATAGTGTATATTACACTTCGTGTGCAAAACTATAGACATACCCCAAATTTTCGGGTTTCTGGATTACAATAAAAACTCAGTACGAGAATGGCGAATGCCGTTCTATCAGCGGGTAAAGAAGCCCCACACAATGATCTTCAACAGATTAGTCAGAATTCATAGGATCTAGTATCAAAAATTGAAAACACGGCCGTTGCAAAATTATATGAACAGAGCAAATTTTGACAAAATTTTTTTTACTTCACTAAAATTTTTCAATACACTCCACAGTCGTAATAGCATTGTGATGGTAGGTGAGCAGACCACAGATTTGCCGTAAGAAGCTTTCACGAGGGCTTCACACGTTATCGCAATTTGGTATGCCTCAATCCTAGATAGTGCGGTAATGTTTCGAGTAGCTATCTTCTGCAGATTGGTATGGTATTGTGCGATTTTTCCAGAACAAAACACTATGGGCAGATGCCCATGATTTCTCCATTGGATTGAGACCTTGCTAAAAGTAGACCAAACGAGGGAAATTTCACGGTAGAGCTACAAAGCGCGGGTTGACGCGCTCGCTACAGTAAACATCTAAACCGGCATTGTATGCTAAGAAATGTATGCCGATGATGACGATCGCATTCCTAGACTATGCCGGTTGATTGTCAGAGCACATTTATCGATGTTCTATTCAAGATAATCTGGTAAGCTTTTCGTTACAGATTGCACTGGGCGGAGATATGCCAAACAACTTATTGTTGGTGGCTTTTGCAGGTATTCTTCGACGAAAGAAAATATTTGTCCGAGTCACCCAGATAGTAGCACTGAGTGCAAAGATGATTCGATCGAGATTCATCTCCCCCCCCCCCCGAGATGAGCTTGGGATAGCGCTGCCCAAACACTTGAGCCCAGTGGATTGGCAAGCTAGACGTGGTCTTCACCGTTTCAGCAAAGGGACTCCAGCGACTACCAATAAAGGGCTCAATCATCGCGTTTACCGTCTACGATGCAGAATCGTCATAATTGGCGTACTCTCAGCAAGTACAGCGCTGATATTCATGCTGCTGAGGCTGGCTTACACTTGCTTTTTAGCCTACCATGAAGATCCACTCGCTGGTCTACTTGCGCAAGGTCTAAATCCGATTTGAAAACCATGAGCAGATCCTGCCTATAGTGTTTGTTCCTGAAAAATCGGCTTCCATGCTTTTACTGCCAGAAGAAGCTGCTCGAAAATTACGCATGTATCTAGGATTAGGATACCAAAATTGCAGATAACATGTCGAGAAGCTCCTCGTGAAAGCGTCTTACGGCGAATCTGGGGTCCTGCTCACCTACAATACAATGCTATACGACTGTGGAGTTAGGATTGAAAAATTTTAGTGAAGTAAAAAATTTGTCAAAATTTCTGCTATGTTATATAATTTGCCCAGCGGCCGTTTTTTCAATTTTTTGAAACTAGATTTCTGGAATTTGACTAATCTGTTTGAAGATTCTCTGTTGTGGTTTCTTTACACGCTGAATAGAACGGCATTAGCCATCTCGTACTGAGTTTTATTTAAGTCCAGAAACCCAAAATTGGGTATATTCGTATATTTTTGCAACGAAGTTATAGTGATATAACTTTTTTATTTTTGCTCTACTGTGGCCGACACATAACGAAATTGCTCTCAAACTTACACATTAAATACAAAATTAATTACAGAACACGATGGATGAATCATTCCGAATATCTATAATTAGTTCAAAGAAATTTGACTTTTTTCAAGTAATGGCGCTTCGAAGTTGTGAAATTTGTTTCCCTCATCATTATGATTCTCACTCTTCAATGTTTATTGTTTCGTGTCAATTCTAGGTCAACCATTGAATAATGTGTTTCAAATGGCTTCATATGCAAAGGAAGCGGTTTTCTATGGCAGGTCTTTCTTTAAACCCTAAAATCCGGATACGAAGTTGAAATTGTTTCTGTAGAAGTTCAGTCTCTACACAAGCAGTAATTATCGAACGTTTCAAGCGTTTCTGGAGTCGAGAGAGAAGAAGAAATGGATCATTCACAAAAAAGTAGGCCACAAGGTAAATTAGCCTCCACAAATCTTCGAAGGGTGTAGTGCCTGTCCGTACCCCTTCTCTTCATCTTCTCCCCTAGCGTTAGTCCCGCGGCCGTCCGCAGGTCCGCTGTTCTTATCAGTCGCCGCCACTTCGCTCTGTCCAGGGCATCCCTGCAGTGGCCCATGCGAGTGGCGCTATGTTTCGCTTAGGCTTCTTACTGCTGCTTCACCTCTTCTTTGGGGCTCCTCGCGGTTGCTTGCCGTGCGCTTCGAAGTCCATTGCATTCCTTATTGGTGGCTTGTGGTTCTAGCACATGCTCATACCCACCGCAGTCGCTGCTCCTCACCTTCAGCTGAATAGGGGCCAGTCTGCATGACCGTTCCGACATCCTCGTCCTACCCTGTCCAGTCGCGTCCAGCCGCAGGCACATCTCAGCATCCTCATTTCGGCGAGTGAACTTGCCTTTGTTGTTCTTGTTCAGGGGCCACGCACTCGCAGCCGTAGAGCATCGCAGCCTTACCCATGTTCGGTACACCTTCCCTTTGAGCGTTCAAGAGCACCTTCGGTCGCAGAATATTCCAGTGGATTCCCTCCATTTCACTATGCCGCGGTGATCCTTCCTTTAACTGCCTAGTCCACACTGCCGTCGGCCCCAGATCACTCCCAGGTATCGGAAGGCCTTCCACTCTTCGATGCTTGTCGCCAAGTCCCATCCACGATTGGCTCTGCTTCACTCCGCGGAGCTCAAGGAACTTGGTTTCCTGACATTTAGGCCGGAGCCCCCCTTCTGCCAGAGCCTTCTGCCACTTCTGCCACCTGGCCTGTAGTTCTTCTCTGCTATCAGCTATCAGGGCGATGTCGTCAGCGTAGAGGTGTTTTAGTGCCTCTTCATGAGCCACTTCACCATGACATCTAGTGTTAGGAGGAAAGGAACGGATTCGGACTGACCCTTGATGACACCCAACGTGATGTTTACTCTTTGTTAGGCCATGTGGGTGCGTACGGGCGGCTTTGCCCCGTCGTACATGTCCCTTCACCAGCGAGACCAGGTGTTCTGGCACAATCCTTCTCTAAGCGCTCTTCCAAATTACCGCTCGTGGTAGCCGGTCGAACGCCTTCTCCAAGTCGAGGAAGGCTAGGTAACACGGGCGACGTTTTCTCGATACTTCTCCATCACTTGGCTTGCGATGAAGATGGCTATCCGTCGTTAGACCTTTCGGGCATGAACCCGAACTGTTCCTGGAGATGGAACCAGCTACCGCAGTCTCGAGTGGCCAGCGCTCGTTCAGCTTCATTGTATGAGCAGTCAACTTGATCCCGCGTTGTTGGAGCAGTCCATCGTGTCACCTTTCTGCTTGAAGATGGACGGATAGTACTGTGCTCCAGGCACCTGGTACTTTTCTTCGCAGTTATGTTGTTGAGGAATCGTGTGAGCCATCTTATCCCGTACTCACCGAGCGCCTTTCAAGCCTCGATTGGCACCCATCTGGGCCAACCGCGCTTCCAATCTTCATCCTCCAAGGGCACACCTAACCTCATCCTCAGTCCAGAGTGCGATGGACCAGCTGTGGCCTCTGCCGTGAGTTGTTCTCGTGGGAAACTCCTCGTTCAGAAGTGCACTGTAGTACACTTCCCACCTTTTGACTTCGGCTGGCTTCCTTAGGAGGACACCATGTCTGCCTTTCACCACTTTTCACCACCCTGATGTCTTGGGTAGCACGGTGCCGGGCCTTAGGCCGCCTTGAAGACGAACTTCCGTGCTACCCAAAAAGTTCACAATTATTCGTTAAAAAAATCGTTTTCAAAATTCCAAAACAAAACCGAAAAGTTGCCAAAAAGAACTCCATTTGAATCGTTTTGCTATATTGGCGGGTTTGACACCCTGCGTCAGGCCTGCCACATAACACTTGAAATTTAACGGTAATTAATGGCTTTATCTGCGTTTCGCTCTCACTATCCGTACAGGGCCGTCCATTTCTTGGTTCTTTGCCATTTTCGAACTGGGGGAGCTATATCGAAAAAGCCTCATGACATAGGTGTGAGGCATTGCGAAGTTCTCAGGCCGGAGTACGGCCCTACTGCGTCAAATCGAGTTTGCGCTATCCATTACTTCTTTTCAGCTCGACTGCAGTCGGAATAACTGCCTTTTGGTCCCAATGATTAATTACCTGCTCTATGCCTATGTA